CAATACAGTTTTTCACCGTATATAGTAGGGGAATTTACCGTTAACCATTTAACAGGTTTTTACTGTAGCATTTTTGCAGTCTTTTACCGTTAAATTCACGGTCATTTTTTACAGTGTACTAATAAACAGCCAATATGCTAGAAATATGCATGCTAATAAACAACTAGTCATTAGTGAGAATTGGACCCTAAACTAAAGCGTTACACATAGTATTTCACATTACAGTAGTGAGAAAAATTGGACATTTTGTATTACAGTAATGAGAATTTGTGGCTGAAATGTACCTATACATGTCATGAAAATAATGTCACAGTACAAAAAATCTTAGCAAGTCCCCCTTTAAAATGGGTCTATTTTCTATAAGAAATATATAATTTCTTACATCTTTCTTGTGATTTTCAGGGTGAAATATGATCTGGGCAGGTTTTCTGAGATTGATGGTTTATGATTACACACTTCTCGTACTTTTTGTACCATTTTATGTCTTTGCAACAACACCGTAAATGTTTCTGCAGGAACCTCGACATGCTTGAGCTTGTCTGTTCAAGAAACAGTCCTGTACTAACTAAGTACAAGTTAGAGGAGTGTTCCGCGTCTCTTGTGTTCAGATTAATCTGACGCAACTCCACTGAGCTGTTTAAATGCAGTGAGTTTTAACAGTGATTAATAGTCCGGATACTCTCAAATTTCAGTTTTGGACATGACTGCAGAGGTGGAGCGAGTGACTCACCCTGGGCCGAAACATTCCTGAATAGCAGCAGCAGCAGAAAACTCCCTGCCAATAGCCCAACCTGCCGTATCATCTCCGGGATGGAGTCAATCTGCACCCCTACCCTCAACCAGAAGGGGCTGATGCTCCGGGTAGGGTGGAGCAGAGGTGGTCAATAAATCATGTCCGAGATCAAAGAATTAAAGCAGTCCTATCTGTCTCTAGCGAGCTGCAAAAGAAGAGTAGGAACGTCTGTTAGGATCTGAAGTTGCTTTGCTAATTTGATTGATTTGATTGTTGGCATTGTTTAAAACAATCAAAAACAGTTACATAACTAAATTACAAGTGACCAGAGGCGGACAGTAGTGAAGTATTTTTACTCTGATTTAAAATGACATTTTTCAAGTGTCCGTACTTTATCAGAGCGCTTTTCTTTAGAAAACATTTACTTCACTACATTCCAAAGCATAATATTGTACTTTTTACCTCACTACATTTCATATTAAATATAATTTAATACTTAATTACATTAGAAATCTAGTACTTTCTTACTTTTACTCAAGTAAAATAATTCAAAGTTTTAAAAGAATGCAAGAAAATATTACATTTTTAATGTCCGTATAGGTAAAACAACAACAACAACATTCCCTTGGTGTTTATTCCTTTGCATTTCAAAAGATCCTGTAAATTCTTTTCTAGTAAATATTTCTTCCAGATGTATTGGGTGTGTTTAATACATAACAGCTGACCCTGGCCATATGTAATAGAAAAAGGTTTTTATTTTTCATTTCTCAACCTGTAACCTTCATCCAGTCCACGACATGCACATTCCTTCCACTTATTTGTGTTGCTAAGGAAAACATTCATCCATGTGAGGCACATAAACAGAAACAAACTCCTACAAACAAATACCTGTGTGTACCTTCATAATCCACGATGTTCCCCGACGAATAGCTTATATGTAGACTATATATCCAATAGATCTGACCGTAGCTCGCTTCCGCCTCACCTTACCGGTGAAATTAAGTTTAAACCGAAACTATCGCGACACTCCGGCGTCCTGCTCATAATAATAATACATTGTCCTTCAAGATGCCCTGCTATCAATGGTGGTCTTGTGCGGTTGGTATTTACTAGAGTGTTGAGTGAATGCTCGAGCTGAGTTCTTCTTCTTCCTAAATTCTCATCGCTGATCACATGGTTCAGTGTCGTGTTACAACACCTGAGTCCAGCTATTACCTGTGGCGCGAGACATTCGCGCTATTGTGCGCAGACATGCTCCTGCGCACCGGAGCGATGACTTCACTGACGCACATCAGCACTGTTTTAATCTTGTGTCCTTGCTAATTAGAATATTT